CTCTCTGACGATATATCATTTCAGTCTGGCTCCAAGTCAAGCAAGACGTCAAAAGTGGTCCTAATATTCTCATAACTAGAGTTACTAGTGTTATGCTTTGTAGACTAAGCATGAAATGAGCATATGAAATCTATAGCATTGAAATTTTGAAGCAAGCTGGCCAATATTGTTTTTCACTCATTTTGGCCCACATTTTCTCCAAAAGGTCAGAAGTCTCGACTAAATCCATGGTGCTTCGACTCCACGTCAACCTTGAATCGAGACTTTGCACTAAGAATGGGGCGCACTTTTAAGACTAGGTCTAATCCTTAATCCTCGGTGGTCAGCCAAACCACCAGCTCCTAGAGCGCCTATTTAATAAAAGTGGTCCTTCTAAGGGATACCAATGTCCTGGTTCTCGCACCCCAACCATTTATACCGCTTGGCTCAAATCCGATTGATCAGATCATGAACTGGAGCAGCATTCAGTTGGTTGAGAGAAATTCGTAAATTGGTTTCACCGGAAACCGAAGAAGGATTGACCGACGTTGAGAGAAGACTGTTGAATTGCGCAAAGCTGTCCTCACCTACGAGTCGGATGTGTCGTCTGTCATGTGACGGGCATACTTTATGTTTCTTAATTACTTGTTTTTCGTTTCTAATCAAGTTTTAGAGACTACCAGTTGATAATATATATGAGGTGTTATTTAGCCTATTTCGTCTAAGGCGATAATGGGACTTTAAGTTGAATTTTCCCACAATGATACTAGTAGACCTTTATTCCCATTGAATTTTACAGTGCCTTGCTTCACCAAACGGTATCGTCATTCAGGCTGGTCTGGACTGCAATTTCGACCTCGCCTAGGTCTCATCAGCACCCCCAGCGGGAGTCGAACCATGACAATGCAGCGCATACCACTACGCCGTATTGTCACAGTAGGAAAATGTAACTGGCAGTACCGTTATCTCCTTAAACGAAATAGTTTCAATACACCTCATATGTATTTTCTTGCTCTGTTGCTGTCTATCAGATGACAGATGAAAGCTTAGAAGGGGGTGCTGGGAATCGTAGGACGGAGAAACGAGGACTTATTTGCACAATACAATATTATTCACTCCACTACAGTCACTCCTACTTCGGCTTTCAGAGAAACTGTCTCACGAACTTCTTTGAACCATTTTTTCCTTCCTAATGTAAAGACACGTCATCCTTATCTATCAAGGGATTCTTCAAAACCAAGCTTTTCTTCATATACAATAGATCAGTAGTGTAATGCAAAAAGAGATGTAGCCCATTTATCCCATTTTCATGAGTCAGTTCATTTAGAAGCCTCAATTGCATTAGAAAACGAAGTATTTAGAGTGAATCTTATGTAGATTTGAGGTGATGAGAAATGTGTTTGGTAGGGCTATTGATGTAGCACGGCAAATGCCAACATTAAATGTTGACGTAGCAAAGGATGTAGCCTTAATGGTGGCCAGGTCTGCTTAGGGCCCGACAGTAAATTCTGCTCGTAGCAGCGGCAATATTGAAAATAAGTGATTAATGCCAGCAAAATATTAAATAAAAAAAATATATGCGAAATTCTTCTTTTTTTGCAACTAAGCAATATACGATGTAATTCCATAATCAGCTTAAGTCTACGACAGTAAGGTATAATAAAAAAAGAATTAGTAATAAGATATCCAAAAAATTGTTTATATAACCAATTTTAGGGATTTTGGAAGACATTTGACACCAACAAGGATGGCTTAGTGACACGTGAAGAATATCTGAGCTACGTCAACTCTTTGGCCCCAGAATCCGGCTCCTCCCATATTGGTTCCACAGGCCTACAGGCCGATCGACCTCACCAAAATCAGTTTCACGGTGTTGCAAGCGTGCCAGGAAGTGAATCTTCGACACTCGTGGGCAACTGCGAGGCGTCGAGCCTAGGACCCGGCAGCGGCTCTGTACCGAACCCAGGCGAGTTACAGTCGCCAAAGCCGACGACAACTTTGAATGCTTGTTCCAGCTTCTCGGGCGCAGATCCGACGACCCGAAGGCAGCAGATGTCTCGGCCAAGTCAATTCAACCAGTCGCCGGGTTGGCTTCGAAACAACAATACCACCGGTCATAGCGTCCCTTCGGTGGCGGAGGACAGGACCAGCTGCAGTCCGGGACGTGGTGGGTTGAAATTGTCCAGCCGAGGTTCCGTGTCGCCAGGGCAACGGTCAACCACTTCAACTCCCTCAATGGCGTCAGCGGCGGGAATTGCGGCAGCGGCAGCGGCTGTGGCCACATTGCGAGCCCAGTCGCCGAGTCGCCAGAGCGGAGAGTCCAGAGGGCCAGACTCGGCTGGGCTCAATAGAACGCAAGAAAATCTGTGGCAGACCAATCGAGAAATGAAAGACGGACAATCAGCGGCAGAGTTGAAGAAGGAAAAAGCCACTCGTGCCATGGAGTAAGGCTATTCTAACCTATTTCCCTGCGAATCGGCCCAGTTTTTACCATTTAATGATAGAAAACACTTTGAGACTAACAAAAATTGTTTAATTAGAACATTAGTCAGTCTAGGTCGCTTAAAGTAGTGTATAAACGAACAGTAGAATATGCTATAATAGAATAAAAGGGCCTCAGTATACCAATGAATTTCACTCGGATTGACCTAAAATATTTCCTCAGTTGTAATCTTAAGTATCGCTTTTCAAGAAATTCTGTTATACTCAAAGCCTGCCCATTTTGCATAGCAACAACGCCGTCGATGATAATGTCAAATACATGATTGCTTCCTCAGGAATCCCACTATGAAATGTGTTCTTTTCGCACGATACGAATCTCATTGGGGGAGGGGGGTGACAAGACTTTGGCTGAGTCGAAACTGGATTATAGCCCAGACGATAAAACCTTTTGGGAGCAGGACAAAGTGAAAGTTTGTGGCATCGTGAAACCCACTCACTTCAGCCGGTACATCATCTTAATCCACCTATACGGACTCGAGTCATTATATTCATAATAGAGAGTATTCGAGACTATCAGTAGTCTCTGAGTAAGTGATGTTCTTACCCTAGTTCGCGCGAGGTTATGAAGAATCTCCCAAAGGGATGGCACAGGATGTGATCTAAGCTTGCTTCCCAGGGTGACCTGTGGTTTAGAAATCACTTTGGTCCCAATAATACCCCCGAACAGAAGGAAACTGTGTCTTGGGTGTAAACTGGCGGATGTTAATTAGTCACAAATCAAATATGACTTTCACAGAAAGCCAGCATATTATTGTTCACATAAGATCACAACAAAACGTCGGATATGCAGTCCAGTCTAGAGGAAAATACATTTTAGCTAGGCAATGATATGGGAAATTCAATGGCGTCATGAGGCCTACTTTTTTGATATCGGGAAAACTCGACTATCAGACCTGGGCTGATTAGGCTCATATGCATAATTTATCTATAGTAAATAAGAATAGTTTATAAAAAAATAAGTAATGTTGTCGATTGCAATGCCAAAAAAGCGTTTACCGGATCAACAATCCAAAGATAAATGTGATTTGGGCGAAGATTGGCACCGTGCCACGAAACTCTCTACCGCGTATAGAATCCTTCTGAAGATGATGATGAGGCCATTTCAGGTGAAGTCCATCCTGGATGAGATAGCTTTTTGCAAGGCAATATTAAATGAAATTCAATGACATCGTGAGGCCTACTCATCTCATTGTGGGAAAACTCAACTATCAGTCCTTAAAACCACTTTAAGTGACCTAGGCTGACTGATCTCTTATACTCACGTCACTTTGTGAAACTTCAACTATCAAGCTTTCATCAGATTATGAAGCCTAGGATTACAAAAAAATCATATTTAAGTTTTTATAATTTAATAAACCATGCAAACTTTTCTTTTCCATCCCGCATTCTCCTTCTTTCAGCATTCTCAGCCTAAATATTGTTCAAAGCATGGTCAAGCGACACAAAT